CTCACCTCCTCCAACTGAAAAAATAAAAAAGACCAGTAGCTTCCTTTCTAGCATTTTCTTCAATGAAATAGTTGTTCAGAATGGCCAACTTTGGCATTTCTCCAAAACGTTTTCATTTATTTGTATTAAAGCCCCAAACTAGATATTTTTAACTAACCAGCTTGAGTACGACTGGCAGAAGACAAACACTTAACTCAGAAATAATAATTTCCTAGTTGAAACTAAAATGAAACTGAAAAATAGAAATTTGGGGAAGAAAACTTATAAGCACTGTAGTTCCTAGTTACAAAGATTTATTTTGTTGTAGACTTATGTCTCAAGGTAAAATTTTTTGAAATACCAGACAGTTCTTGATTCCATACATTTTAACAGTACCCTTGACTTATTTTTTGACTAAGGCAACATTTTTTTGAATTTCTGTTTTTTTAATGGTTTTAAAGGTTTCTAATAGCAAAACATGCTGTTCTGCTCCATATTATGTGTTCAAATGTTTTGTAAATGTATGCTGATTTTCATAATCCTAAAGGAAATATTTGTTTTCAACTCCCAAACAGATTTCTGGCATCTACATGAGCAGTTTCCAGCTGTGTTGAGTAGAACACCAGTATTCTTTTGACAATAATTGGTGTTCGGTGAAAAAATTCTCTACTAGTAGCACCTTTTTTCTCCAGAAAAATTATTGTTGAAGATATGTTTCAGAAAAATTCTAGATACATTTAGTTGGCTCATTATATAGTAATCTACCACAAGAAATAGTGTGGCATACCTGAGAATTCTAGGAGGTAATAGAAAGAAATCATTTGGGGCAAGAATGAATGATACTTGATTTGTGAGTTGATGTATAGAGAGCATATGCCAATTAACTGTTACACTGTATATTGTTTATTGAATCTTTCATCACTACATCTTGTCTTGTAATTTTAATATATATTTGTATCATTATTCAGTGTTGTGTGTCAGTCACATCTATGAACCCAGTTTGGTAATTTCTCGTCGCCACTAACCTGTGAGACCATTTTGCTGCTGTCTGCTTTGATCCAACCGCATCTCTTGAATTTCTGTTGATGTTTCATCAGTGTGTTCTTTTAAGTGCTCTGTAGTCATTAAGTTTAGAAGACTGAAATAATTTATAAAATAACCATTTCTGATACATTAAAACAATCTCTTTAGCTGTATTTTTATGACTAGTTACTCTCATTTCTAAATGTAGATGGATTTCCCTACCAGTGAAGCCTTAATTGTGAAGTGCCTGGAAACCAGACCCCTCAGTACAACACATTTAACCATCAGTAATGGTTGCTGGGATGCTGCTGCCTCACCGAGTTTTTCATTATGTGTAAACTTTATGGTACACGCGACTTAAAACCAGCTAAGATAAATGTCAGGTTTCTAAATTGATGTTTTAGAGATCAAATGTTGCACTGACAACTATTTTCTTCAAATTGGTTTGATTACCACTTAGTAAGGTTAGAGTAGGGAAGACAATGACCTTGCCTTGCTTCCATAATTATAGCTTTGCAAATACTTTTAATAAGTGAAGGCTGGAACATAAAGCACTATATTTTCATATAGAAATAAGAGACTGTTCCCTATTCTCTGTTCTCTTTGTGGTAAGGTTTTCAAATCTTTGAAATTCTTAGACTGCTCTTGATTATATATATATATACGTGTGTGTGTGTGTGTGTGTGTGTGTGTGTGTGTGTGTAAATTGTACTTGTATTTTGGGTCAAAAGAACATATTCAGAAAGTTTGTCATCTAAATGGCTATAATGGTTCTCTGAAGGAAACAGCACTTTACTGAAAATGTTGCATTAAAGCATGTTGAAAACACCCCCTGAGAGTTCTTTATCCACAGAATAAATAAGTTCTGTTAAAAATAATTTCAGGGCCGGCCGAGTGGCTCAGTTGGTTAAGAGCTTGCTCAAGAGTTTGAGCTCTGAGTAACAGCGGTTCGATGCCCTGCCTGAGCTGAGCAGCCGCTGAGCTGCCAACAGGTAGCAGGATGGCTCAGCTAAAAAAAAAAAAAAATAAAATAATAATAATAATAATTTCAGTGAGCATTCAGTATGTGCCAGGCACTGTGCTAAGTGCTCTACCTATATTAAAAGAAAAAATTATAATTAAGTGTCTTTGAAACTTGATATCCCCATATAATTTTGTGTTTGGATCATGAGCTGTTTGGGTTAAAAATCTTCATGCAAATTCCTGCAAACAAACCAAGTGTGGCTCTGCCGTGGGTGGTTTTCAAGCTTAACCATCTCAGCTGGATTTAATTACCTTAAGGGAAAGGGCTACATGATGGGCCAGTGGTTTACCAAATTATTTTTCATTTTCTGGATCTCGATGTCACTAAAGGTTAATGCGTCCTCTTTTCTCTGCTAGCGACCCAAGTTAAAATCCATTTTAGAGCATGAGTGTAAATGAATTTCTTGTTGCTGTCCCTCCTTGGGGACGCTTTGGTCATTTCAGGAGGCTGCCTTTCCATTTGGAATTGCTGGCAGCTTACACTAGACCCAGGGGCGCTTGGAGCCGGGGCACATCCACGTCAGCATGCAAATGAGCTGGCGGGCGTCAGAGGGCAGAGCTGGCCCAGGGCTGTTCACTCTCTCATTCCTCGATTCCTTCTTGAACTTAAGGAAACTTATTTGCTACTGACATTTGATTACAGCACATCACAGAGCAAGTGGTGTGTTTGTGAGTGAGCTGTTGCATTTTCCTTCCCATCTCCAGTCACTGTGCATTGGGCAGCTGCCAAGCTTCCCATGGTCACTGTCCACAAGCGCCTCCGTGACTCTGTGGGTTGGTAAAGACCTGTGATCAACACTTACCACCGGTATGCTTCACGGCTTTCATTGTCTGTTGGTTTTGTATAAATGCTTTAGTTTTTAGGAGCACGTTTATATGCGTAATTACACTCAAGTATTATTAGTTATTGCCTTTCTGTGTAATATTAGAAATACTTAGAAGTGTAACCTAAGCGGGTAATAGCCGTAGCACGTTAACCCCTTTAGGGAGGTTGTTGATGGTCTTTCCCCTCTCAGTTCAGCTTGTAGCCATCTCCTCTCCGTTGTTAGTTTTGCATTCTCGGTGTTTCTCTCCCCCCCCCCCCCCCCACTTTTCTCCCAAGGAATGGTACCTGGAAATATACTCTTCACTTTAAGATTTTTGTTTTTTAAGAATACAAGACCTTTAGACGTAAAGACATAATTTTATACAGAGGGTGCCAAAAAAAATGTATACATATTTTAAGAAAGGAAAAAAAAACTGTATTAAAATTGTAATACTCAATATATACTGATTAAAAAAGATGAATATGAGTCACGTTTGACTTCTGCAATGACAAGAGGTGCTCAAAGGGGTTACTATCAGTGTAATGTTAATACAGTTTTTTTCCTTTCTTAAAATGTATATACATTTTTTTGGCACCCTCTCTATACATACATAAATGGGGCCATATCATACATGCTGTGTTTTTCTTTTACAGTTATCACTTTGGTTTTAAAATGAATTGCTCCAAGCTCCTCAAATCCCTCATTTTCTCCATTTGTTGTGGGCATTCCTACACCATTTTTATTCATCCAATCCTTTTTGTCTTAAAAATCTCCCAAATTGCACTTTACACCAGGAGTACCTCCCTCTCCATAGTTTGTTTATCTTCTAGTCACTGTTCAATTCCCATTTCTCCTGTCAAACTGGACTAGGCCAAGCAGAGGTGATGACTGCCGTTGTCCACTTGTAGTGTTCATGTAAAAATTCCACCGACCTCTGTGTGTGTGTGTGTGTGTGTGTGTGTGTGTGTGTGAGAGAGAGAGAGAGAGAGAGAGAGAGAGAGAGAGAAACAGTGAGAGAGACTGACTATATGTAGACACACACGTACTCTTAGTTAGTTAACCCAGCTTGGATTTCTGATCATCATGAGAAGTAATTATTAAAAAGCTTGTAGTGTGCTTTTATTTAGTCTTTGTCTTAAAATGCTAACTTTGAAAGTTGATTTAAACCATTAGTACATGGAGTTCTTGTGAGAATATGAATGGTGCTGTCATTTAATTGGGGTGGTCATTTTACTTGTGTCCACTGATAGGCAATGTGTATGAGAATATATTTGTACATAAGGCTTTGTTGTGGTACGTTAGATGCTTTCATGTTGCTCTTTATCAAGATTGTTTTCTTCAGCGTTATCTGTCTCAGATGCTAAACCCTTCCGAGGCAGGGCGAGGCCTGTCCACATTATGCAGGAGTCCCCCCTTAATCCAGGGCATATGTTGCAAGATCCCCAGTGGATGCCTGAAACCCCAAACAGTACTGAGCCCTAGATGTGCTCTGTTTCTGCCTATAGATTCATGCCTGTTGTAAAGTTTAACTTAAAAATTAGGCAATTTCACTGATAAAAGATTCATTCTTACTATAGATTTTAGCAATCTCACCATGAGATTTTTCTTTCCTCATCAATGCGAGAAGTTTTACCTTTCCATTTAAAGGAAGCACTGTAGGGCTTCTCTTTGGCATATCCTAATTGCCAACATCACTACTCTTGCACTTTGGGGCCATTAAGTAAAATAAGTGTTACTTGAACACAAGTACTGTGGTACCACAACAGCGACCTGGTAACAGAGATGGCTACTAAGTGACGAATGGGCAGGGGTCATATACAACGTGGATACACTGGACAAAGGGGTAATTCACATCCTGGGTGGGGTGGAGCTGGACGGCGTGAGATTTCATCACGCTACTCAGAACGACATACAGTTTAAAACTTATGAATTGTTTATTTTTGAGATTTTTTTCATTTAATATTTTTGGACCTTGGTTGACCGCAGGTCACTGAAACTGCTGAATGCAAAACCGTGGGTAAGGGAGACTGCTGGACTCTATAAAGTGTGATGTATGCTCGTAAGGTTTTCCTAAACTCGCTTTTGACTGTGTCTTTTAAAAAATAGTTTCATCTTTATGATATTGCTGGATTATTTAATTGTGCTTCATTGTATTTTCTCCCTTCCTAGGTGTCAGCAGTTGAGTCTTTGGAGGGCCCCCTGCTCCAGGTGGAAGGACTGAGTGACCTTAGGCTCGAACTTCACAGCAAGAAGATGAACCTCCACTTGGTTCTCATAGATGAGCTGCACCGGCACCTATACATCAAATCGACGAGCCGAGTTGTGCAGTGCAACAGGGAGAAAGGGAGAATGAGGTGGGTGCAAGAGGCCCTTTGCTGCAGTGTGTTGTGGCGTTGTAGAATTTTAAGGGCTGTTATTTGTTTCCCAGAATATTGTGGGAGGTTATTTACTTCTCTTTTTAACATATTGTCTTCAACATTGTAAGATGGTTTTATAACAGCAAACACCACGTTCTGAAAGGTTGATGTTCGAAGTTCGTTCATTCCTCCATTGTACATTTATTATGATCCTCTTATGTAGAAATACATAAAAAAAACTACTCTGGGCCTTTAATATATTGGGTCAGAGATACTCTCGTATATCTTAGAATGGAGAGGAAAAAATCCTTCAATTGGATAGTGAAGTCAACCTAATTAAGAAATATGTTTGTATGAATTGCAGTTATAAAATTCTTTGTTGCTTAGGATTCTGTTCCTCTTTAGACAATCCTCTTTCTGGAATAGTTCAGGAGAGGTTCAGAGAGAACACTTCTCTTTTATCCTGGGCTGATTGTAGCATAGCCCTATATTTAAGGGCCTGGATGGGCTCAAGAAATTCATTAGGTTAGCATAGACCTGGTAGGGAATAAGACCAGATCTTAAGACAGTTAAGACAGCAGACCATTGGTGTTACTGACATGTATCAGAGAGCTGTGCATGTCATGTCCTTCCAAGAATCCTTTAAAATAGCATATGATTGTCTCAGAGGCCAGTTTAGCACTATCTACAGAAATACACGTGTTCATACCTTTCCATCCAGCGACGGGCAAGAGGCACAATGGAGGCAGTGCATGCTGGGAGTAAAGTCTTTAAAATCCTATCCCGTTCAAACAAAAATTGCCAACTTTCTGGGCGATGCTTCAGTTTAGTCAGAGACCCTGACAGAGAAAGAGGAGTTTCTCTCTCTTTTCTGCAGATGGGCACTAGACAAAGTTCTGCCAGACACAAATTGAGCTACAGGTTATGTACCTGAGACTTCAACACTGGATCTCAGTAAAATAACTGTCAGTACTTTAGCGGAGAATAAAGTGGTTAGTAGGCGCAATGCTAAGTAAATTCCTTCTACAGTGTCTGGTGATAGATAACAGGTCTGAACAGATTTCTTCACATGCAAGGATTAAAAAAAAAAAAGGAAACAAAAAGACCACTCTGGGCCCTGTGAAAACACTCTACTGCGTAGGGAAATGAGCATTACTTTGAGGTTTGAGAGAAGAGCATTTATTTGAAAAAAATTAAATAAAGCAAAACAGGAAAAATTGAGGAGGCTTAAACGTAGGTTTCTCAAAAGATGCAAGATGATGTAGTAGATTAGATCATCATTCAAAAATTTTATTCCCCCTCCCCCCCACTTTAATGGTAAAAGTACATTTCCTGCTCTTTGATTTTGGGGCTCTTGTTTTGCTGACCATTAGCACATGACACGAGGAGGGGCTTGAAATGTGCTTGTGCCAGTGAGCATGCCCTCTTGTGCCTCTGCCATTGCTGTCTTGGCATTGGTCCCTGGGGAAGGATGAGAGACATGTGGAACCAATCCATTATCAGACAGCCACCAATATGTGTGTGTGTTGTTGAACGTTACTGGGATTTTGTGGTTGTACGCAACAAGTATGTAGCGTCTATGAAATGTTCATGGAGAGCCATAATAATGGAATTGGGAGAGATGTAAAAAGAACTAACTAGAACATGAACAAATATAAGGAAAACCAAAATAAAGTAGGGGAATGAAGTCCCTGGTTAAAGCATTAGCAAGAAGAATTGACTCGGTGATATGGAGGGAGCGCTTTGCTCATCATGAAGAGGAAAAGACAAGATGATGAAAGAAAGATAATAGATATGAGAGATGGAGACCAGAGAAAAATCCAATGATTTTAGACATGCTGCAAAATGACACTAAAATGATAGTGTAATAGGCTGAATTGTGCCCCCCTAAAATTCATATATTGTACTCCAAAGTCCCAGTGCCACAGACTGACTAAATTTGGAGATAAAGTCTTGCAAGAGGTAAATAAGTTAAAATGAGGTCATCAGAGTGGGCCCTGATTCAGTATGACTGGTGTCCTTATAAGAAGAGGAAATTTGGACACTGACTTGCAAAGACAGAAGACCATGTGAAGACACAGTGATATAAGGCGGCCATCTACAAGCCAAGGAGAGGCCTCAGAGGAAATCCATCTTGTCAACATCTGAATCTTGGACTTCTAGCCTTCAGAACTGTGAAAAAATAAATATCTGTTGTTTATGCCACACACACTGTGGTGTTTTATTGTGGTAGCCCTAGCAAATGAATACAGAGAGAAACAGAAGCAATAATTACAGTAATACCTTGGTTTGTGAGCAGAATTCGTTCCAGAAACAAACTACTCATATTGCAAGACATCGCTCATTTACCACGTTAAAATGTATTAGAAATGTTTGCTCATCTTGCGAAACACTAGCAAACCACTTTACTCACAATCCAAGGTTTTACTGTATAGTGCAAAAAAGAAATCCAAATAGAAATAACAAAAAAAAGACCTTGGTTTGCAAATCAGTAGAATTCAATTAATGAGAAAAGTTACTCTTTGATGTAATTGGAAAATTCTTATGCATTTCAAAAACAAATTCTGTAAACACCAGGAAGAAAATGTATCTGCTGTGACAGAGATAGTTATTTGTCCATTCTTCTCCCCTTCTTCATTTTTAATGGCAACCTTATTTTGTTCCTGGTGGCCCTATGCCCTGCTCCAAGACTCAATTTTCCATCCTCCTATATAGCTCAAGGTCATTAGTGAGATTTTTGCCTGCAAGCTGCTGAATCAAGTCTCATTGGAAAATCCTTAAAGATGCCAACTAAACTGGTATGCTCACTCTTCTACCCTTCACGTGCCTCCCTGTATGTCCTGTGTAGGACATGGATTGGTGCCATCAGTCCATCTTGGACACCTGGGGACCCTGAGGATGGAAGGCACGTCTGAATCTCTTTAATGACATGGAACCTCCATTAAAGCCTGAATAGGTGATGTCTTTTCTATGACAGGAAGGAAAACCTTTATTTTACTCAGGCCACTGCTATTTGGGTCTTCTGTTTTCTATAGTTAAACCTAGTCCTGATACACAGAAAGGAGCAAAAATCAGGCTCAGCAGGATTTGTGGAACACGGGATGTCAGAAGCTAGCAGAGCAACGTGTACGAAGTGTTGAATGGGGAAGAGTTGGGACGAAAGACTTCGATACCCAGCTAAAAGGGCATTGATATGCATGGGTGACAGAGAGACATTCTTAGATATAAATTAACAACAGCAACAAAAAATCACTAATGTTCTTTTTCTGAGAAGAATACTCAGAGATGGACTCTGAGATATAAATCAAATTCTGCAACTTGAGGACGATAAAGTTGTAGCTAGTTTATAACTACTGTGAGAACTACATGCCATTAATATATAAATTTACATATAAATAACTGACAAATCTATTTTTACAAGATTGAAAATATGAGCTGAAAATTATTTTTGCAAAAGAAGGTCTCTGGTCAAAGACTGTAATAATGAACGGGATTTATATCCCCACATTAAGTTCATATTGACTGGGGAATTTGGATAGGCAAGAGATAGAAAGGAATGCTGAATTCTTGCTTAAAGATGAGTCAGAAGTTGTTTTATTTTGGATTTTAATAATTAGAGAAAGTATGTTTAATTCATTTAATTTTATGTATATTAACCTAGATATGTATATTTAAAGATTTCTGTGCTGAAAAGTCACCAGAGAAGACAGAGCAAGTAAAACATATTCTCCTCTACAAAGGATGATGTATTGAGCCAGTGTTCCTGATTGCAAATAGCAGAAGTCAGCCCTGGTAACTGCAACAAGGAAAGGGACGTAGTGGAAAGTTACCAGGCAGGTTGCAGAATCTAAGGGAAGGAAGTCTGTATAATGAGGCTCGGAATCCCAGGAGGGACCGAGGGAGATGAGCAGTTGGGCACACATCATAGACAAGGCACAGGAAAGGTCTGTCTGGTTGGGTTGCTGCCCGGCTGGCACCATGCCGACAACAGCTGGATTATTGACTCTTGGGTAAAGGATCTCTAAACGTCCTTTAATCTTTATCTCCCCAAGATTCAAAGTCCATGGTGGAATCATTGCATTTGTTGAGTCTGGAACACATCCGGCCTCCTTCAGCTTTTATAGTAGGAAGTAGGGTTTTCTTTCTTTTTTTGCTTTGACCCAGACAATGGAGAGTATCTCCACATACAAAGATGGTCCCAATTGTCGGTATACAAAATAAATGCACAAACACCCAAGAGCAAGCTTCTGCAGGAAAAGACAAAAGTCACACGAAGACATGCACATGAAGAGCAGATAGTTTTGAAATAGAAGTTGAAAAGAATTGATAATGAAATACATATCCTTTCTATATAGATATAAATATACGTGTATAAAAATTCCTGAAAGAATGCTGAAACACTGATGAATTACCTCTGGGAAATGCAAATGGGGGATGGGGACTAGGAAAGAGGGACTTAACTCCGTACCCTCTGCACTGTGAGTGTATTCAGCATGACCACGTATTATTACTGGAATAACAATACAATTATAGATGATGCTTTTGAAGAAGATGTTTCATGAAATGGCAAAATGTTTACTGTTGAAGGGAAATGCTAGAATTTAAAATTCTATACAATCCTGTTGTACAGAATCCAAAGAATGTTGAAAGTGGACATTTGTGTGTGTGTGTGTGTGTGTGTGTGTGTGTGTGTGTGTGTGGCAGGAATGGATAGACAGATAGACTCATTTCTGTCAAATGTTTTGGAAGGCCTTACACCAAAATTATATTAAGAGATTATTTTTATTTTCTTTGCATTTTCAAACAGGAACCCTTAATACATATATAAGCAGATAAAATCAATAAAAAGTTATTTTAAAAGTAGTAAATCCTTTCACTTATTGCATGCCTCCTGGGTTAATACGTGATTAACCTTCCTTTCTTGGACACAAGATCTTGGAGGAGGAAATTTCAGACCCATGGATTTTGAGGTCCATATTTGGCTCTGGGTGTGTAAAGAGTGTCCGTGACCTCATTGTATTGTTAGCTGCCTAACTTGTCTTTTAAATCTTTTTCTTTTTACATATGCCTGTTTTCTTTTTACATATGTCTGTTTTTTTTACATATGTTTGGTTTCTTTTTGTTACCTTTCAGTTCTTTCTCTCTTTTTCCCCTCTTGGCTTAGATGTTAGCTTTACCTTATTTTGTATTGTATGTCTTCACTCTTGGTCTAGCATTTGAGACCATGATTGTTTTTGACTTTTATACCCCCTGAATCATTCATTATTCTTCCTGTATGTTCCAGCAGATCGTAGAAGGTAGAAAATTACTATGCCGGCCATTCCTGTTTCATTATTCAGCTAAAGTTTTGTCCTAAGGACATATTATCTTTGACAGATATTTCTTAGCTCAGTTTGATTTAACAAACTTTTATGAGCACTTGCTCTTTGTCAGGTACTGTGCCAGCTGTTGGGGTTAGAGGGGTGAATATATTAGTTACTAGATTTACAACTAAAAGTTCAATTCACCTCTGTCAAATTTTAGTCTGACAATAAAATCAGCCAAATGAACTGCCTCTGTAAATTTTGGATGTGGTTGGACGTATTTATTACTCAGTGAAGGAACAGAAATAAATTCTAATTAAAAAGCAAATGTTTAAGAAGCTTTTAGCACTCCCAACTCTTCTTTTTAAAAATACTCAATCTTTCCATGGCTGGAAATCTTGAAATCAAACAAATTTAGAAGTAGCTCCTTACTCGTTGAACAGATGGGTGGTTAATGGCTCAAAGGTCTTTGGGGTTATGGTGGTAGGGGCGATTGTTTTGGGGATAGTTTAATTTGCTTCATAGTGTTCTGTCCTACCACCATGTGGTTATTTAGTAGCAAACCACATCAATCACCATATGCAGTGAGTAGTTTTGGGGGGATGGTCTTATACTAGGGAGAGTATTATATCCATCAGCTGTTGTCCACTTAGCTCTGAATGATTCTGAGTGGGTTTAAAATAAAAATTTGGAATCATGCATGTAAAAAACAAACTCCTATCAATATTGTTTTCAAAATAAAGCAGCTCAGACCATTCATATTAATTAGAAACTTGAAAAGAACAATCGAATTTTGATTTGACTGTTCACTTTCCAAAGCACTTCCCCTGAGAGATTCAAAACCCTTTGAAGGTACTAATAATACTTTCTGGACTTTATCTCTGATGCATGGTGAGAACAGGCTTTTCCCCCTTTTTTCTGAAGTGGAAACTGAGGTACATGCTAGTTAAATGCTATATTCTGTAATAATAGCAGCTACTTTTCTGTTGAACGAAATGAGTGGATGGGCCCCCTTTCTCTTGAACTGTGGAGATGAAATCCTTCCATAAAAGAACAGGAGAAAAACTAAAAGTCATTTCCAGAACGACGGGCCTTTGGGGTCATGTTCACAAAGGAGAAAATTGAAGCCCAAGGGAAAATTTTAGAGCGATGAGTCTATGAAAATAGTTTTGCAGTAAATTGACTTTCTAAAAGTTTATTGATGGTGTTGGAGGGCCCTTCTGGCTCTGATAATAAAGTCAGTAGCTTATGTTTTTCAAAGTTAAAGTGGCAAGCCATTTATCACCCTATATTTAACTGAAACATATTTTTAGATTAAAACTGAGAAAAATAATTATAGATTTTAACGTCAAGTAAATCATGTGCACACCTGTGTTTACAGAAGTGCGTATTATCCTCACACATATATACATATCACTGTGAACACACATATGTGCTAACTGTACTGCTTCGTTTTCAGGCTTGGCAGGCAGTAATCCAGCTTTATACCTGAATTCTCCTGCTAATTGATACCTTCATGTATCGGTGCTTTAAAAAGAACTCCTCTACTTTTGTTAATGGAAATATTTATAAAATGTATTATATATTTTTCCTATCAAATTGAACTTTTCTTTTTGGTACTCAGTCACAGCACCATAAACATCAGTGATTCTCCTCTGGTCCTTGGGCCTGCGCGTGTATCCAGGGGCTTGGGGGGTGTGTAGCACCTGTTTTTCAATTGCGAGTCAAGTGCAGGTACAAGAGGACGAGACCATTGAGAAGAAAAATTAGAGACCATAGTAGTCATTCTATAAAAGATAAATGTATAAATGTGTGATCTAATGGACTTGTCTGTTGATCTGATAGACAAAGTATTGTGATCAACCAGTGGATGTGAAAGCTCGGTTGGGTTTTCTTAAGATGGTTGAGGCAAATAGGAAGGTATAGCTTTAGATTGGAGAAGAGCTACTGGAACTATTGGGTTGTTGGAAAAGTCATGACGTATTTTTTCTATGTTTTTCATTGCAAAAATGCATCATGACTTTTCCGACAACCCAATATGTCAGTTCAGTTTTTGTTAAGTGTGGTGTCTGTTACTTTTCCATCTTATGTTTCACTTGAGGTTTCACGTAAGTCTGCAGGTGACTGCGACAATTGGAAATATGCTAAGTTTGGTTTAGCTTATATCTTCGTCATACTTGGAGCCTCAGCACTGGAAACAGTGCCAGGCACGTAACAGATGCTCAAGACTTGTGTGAGTAATGGTCCCACCCTTCCCTGTATTACATGAAAAGAGGGAAGTTAATGACTGTTACAGTTATCCTTGTGGCCAAGGACAATGGATCACGTCTTACTAGCTCTTGATAAAAAATAAATAAAAAAAATCCCTTCAGTGATAATTGTGCCCTTCATGAAGTTTGTTTTTCAAAGTTTTCTTTGAAACAACACGTTTATTTATTGAACTCTATTAGCTTCAAAACACATATACCTTGCACTTTGTTCCAAAAGTAGTGTAGGAGGGAGATAGGGATATGTCACGATGGGAGAGGGTGGATGTGCAGAATTGCATGCATCCTTCCATGCCGTTTGGAGAAAGCTTTCTTGGAAGTGTGGTCTCGCCCCTGCCCTTCCTTTGCCTGCCCTCCCTCTATCACCCACTTTGGGAATCACTTCCAAGGGAAGCTACGGCGACAGATGATGTGTGTTGGGATTGGGAAGAGGTGGTGGGAACTGTGGAGGGCTTTGACCTCTCTGCCCTTTGGACTTGACGCAGAGAAGCTTTTCTGTTGCAGATGCAATGTGATTCGATGATTCAGATTCAGGGAGATAGGGCCCAGGTGTGATTTGCCTGGGCATGCCTCCATTCTTGCACCTTACAGATGCCAATACATAGGCATCAACTTGGAAATTTAATTGTGGTTTGATAGTCTTTGTGTCATTTAAAATTATGTGTTTATTTTGGAGACTCTAAAGCTTTAGAGGAGGGGCTAGGCCTTTTTGGAAAAGGTGAACTGGGTCATCAAACACTGAATTAGCCCGTTCAAGATTCCTTCAGACATCTTTTATTGTAGTGACTCGCAACTTGATGAAATGCATGAACCTCTTTTCAAGAAAACTAAACGTAGTGAACTCCCAGAATATGTCCAAAAACTCCAGCTTGAAAAACACAAGTTAAACTAGGCTTAACCACGGTTAAACCTTCATTTGGTTATCATGATATGGTGTCATTTGATCTTTCTAGACTGATAAATTAATTTTAATACCGAAACAAAGGGTATTGAAATTGTGTGGCTTAATTTGTGTGGCCAGATCTTCCAGAACATACTTACATCATTTTATTTAAACCTTGCATCGAAATGAAAAGACATTTAATAAAAATTTAAGTACTTGGAACCCTTAGAATACCTCGTTACCCTTGTCTGCGCCAATCACCACTTTACTGGAAATGTACTTGGGGGGTATTTGAAGTCACAATGTGAAGAGGGCTTATGGGATGGGCACATAGTGGGACTTCATTTGGTTTTGGAGAACGTGATAAGTAACGCTACTTTTTCCCTCCAGCTCCCTTGTGAAAGATGCATCTCCGGTTCCTCTGATTGATGTTACAAACCTTTCTACGCCTCGGAAATTCCTTGATACCACTCAGTATTCTACTCCTGGAAGCTCAAGTGGTGAGTATGGAATTCTCCAGCCAGGAAACTTTTTAGTATGCCGCAGTTCCTAGGCAAAGGCCCGGGGAGGCCTGCGGGTCCAGTGTGGCAGGTCCACAGGTTGGTGCCTAGGGGACTGGGATGAGCCCTTTGACCACCCTCAGCACCTTAAACCTCAGGGGAATAAGGTTTAAGATGACCGGCTGGGCCTGTTGCCTTTGTCAGGCCTGAAACCTGGCAGCTGCACCTGGCCTGCCTGCCGAATCCAGCTGTTACACATGTGTTTTATTTGACCCACACTGTTGGTTTTTCAGAAGTTGAATTTGAATGCTTTTTGATGGAGTGTGTGTTTTCCTTTTTGCTATAACGTCTCTTGCCCTTGTTAGCTTTTACCCAGCTGTTTCGCGTATACATTCCCTGTGTGGTCCGTGAGGGCTTTTGAGTGTCTGGCTCCTGTGCTGTATCCTGACTGCTGTATCTTCCAGCGACCTCTCCGCTTCCATCTGTGCCTGAGTGTGCGCACACCCGCACTGCCCTTTGAGGATGTATTCTCGCACAGATCATGGTTCTTCTTGGGCTGCCTCGTGTTCTTTCGAATACGATAAAGGAGAGCCATTTTGGCCTATATTTGAAGTTGGGGAAAGGACGGCCTACTTTGAATCTGGATGCAGAGATTTAGGGGAGTTCTGGTATGGCTCCGACCTGCCCATCAGAGAGTTCAGCTCAGTAGGGCTCAGCTTCTGGGACTCTGCAGAGAGCTTCTCTGCTCTGGCAGCATTGGGATGGGGAGAAGGGGCCTGGGGATCTTTTGGGGTGCCCTGAGGTTGCTTCCCTTGACCGCCAAAGCCCTCATGCCTTTTAAAGAAGTAGTAATGTTGATTATCATTGGCTTTTCAGATAACAGTTCTTATAGTTTGTACTAGTTCTATAGTCCTACAGAGCTTGAAATAAGGAAAAGATAGGAAAATGTAGAAAAACAATCTGGATTCAATCAATATGTTTTGTGTAACCAACTGAAAGTTGTTTTGTTTTTTGAGAGCCTAACAATATATTCTTGTTGCTGGGGCATATTAATTACCTCTTAAATATCATTTAATTAGATTTTAGGTTTATTTGCTCTTGGAATTTTGAAGTTTATTGATTTTACTCTAGGAATTATTTTATAATAAATTTTCTGTTAGTCTGCTTGGTTACTGATTTTTGAAAAACCCCAAACATTGATTTTTATTATGGTTCCTGACAAAGGTTTGTACTCAAGTCTCTTCCTGGAGTTAAAAGGTTTTGTTTTCTCCTTTCTGATGTAGTGTTGCTACTCTTTGAGTTTTGACACTGCTTTGAGCGGTTGCAATGTGGAATTATGAAACAGAAAATAATATCTGTACATTTGATTGGTATTTTACCTCTGGCTTTGGTGGACATTACCAATTTTTATATCTTTGTGTTTTTATAGTGCGAATCATCATTGCTTAGCCTGGTTATGTCAATTTATGTAATTGTTGCCCGGTTAGTAGCCAAGTGAAATAAAATTTTAATTGTTTATGAAGAAATGATAGGGCAGGCGTTTTGCAAATGAAAAGTGCTGTATAAATACCAAATAAGCTGGCAAAAGGCAATTATGGAAAATTTCAGTTAGAAACTAATTTTGCAGCATCTATTATTTTTAATAAGACAGCACTTACCTTTTTGATGGGCCCGTTTTCTGTCAGGGCCTGTTGTTAGCGTTTATCACTTAGTGGAGCTCCTGTTGACACTGACTTTGGCAGTTGGCTCCTTCAGTACAGGAATGACTGCTGGAGAACCGCGTGGTGGTTTAGTGGAGTGGGACCACCATGCAGACATTGTAGATATGTGTACAAACCTTTCTTTTTAGAAGGGCTCATTCCTTCACTGTTTTGAAGACTGTTGATCTTGTGATTTTTTTTCTGTGGGTGACAGAAAACCAAGGCAGTTAAATTATTATTGATTAAAGTCAGTAATAGCCTTGCTAAGATATGTTTAGTGCCTTCTATCTGTGCAATAGTATTTTAAGTGCTGTACATGAATGAACTCATTTAGTCCTTCAACAATCTTTGGAGATAGGTATTATGGCAGGTCTTTGAATAATGTCATTTTGCTGTGATGTGGATGAGATGCCATAGGAACTGAACTCTTGTTTATATCAAGTAGCCTGCGGTGCCATTGGTTTTGTTGTATGGTGTTTTGCTTCAAATTGCAGAACCTTTCGACAGTGTTAAGTGAGGACTTAGTATACCATTAGCCCCATTTTACAGATGAGAACACCAAGGCTTAGGGAGGGTTCAGAAGTGGTTTAGGTTGGCACAGCCAACAAATAGTAGTGCTGTGGTTTTAAATCGGAAGCTGGTTCTAAACGGTGCTCAGTTTCTTGCCCTGCAAATAAGCTAGGTCTGATCTGTGCATTAGTTTTCTGTTGCTGCCATAACAAATTGCCACAATATACATTTATCATTCTATAGTTTCGTTAGGTTAGAAGCCCAATATGGGTATCCCTGGGCTGAAATGCAGGTTCTCTATGTGAGAACTTCTCTGTCTTTTCCTGCTCCTGGAACTGCTGCTTTCCTCGACTCACAGTCCACTTCCTCCATATTCACATCCTCTTATGTCACATCTTTTTATTCCTTTCTGAAAGACTCGTGTGATTAGATTGATTTCCACCTGGATAGTTCCGGATACGCTTCCTGTCTAAAGGTCCTGAACCTTTCTCACTTCTGCGCGGTTTCCTTTGCCATGTAAGATAACACTCACAGATCCTGGCAGTTAGGACATCGATGTCTTTCGGGGACCACGGCCTTGCTTATCACATGCTGCATAGCCTGTTTTCTGACTTAAGTTATCTTTAGGAGCCAACATGTCAAAATTTGACTTTCTTGAAATTGTGTGTGAAGTTTTTTCAAGACATTGCAGTTCTGGTCTTTAGGACTGCAGTAATCTGAGTCACATTGTTGAAGGGGATCGTATGAATGAAGGAGATAAATTATGGAGAGAACTGCATAAAATGCTACCACGTACACGTTAAAGTATGGACCTGATGAAATATACTGTAACAATGGGCAGAAATTTTGTCTTATTTTTAATAATGAGCAGTAAGTCCTAAGAGCCTATTTGTGACCTCGGCAGGTCAGCCTAGAAAGCGATAGTCATTTTCAGCAGAGAATTTAGCATAGGCTCTTATAGCTCCCCTCTCAGCTAGTGAGATAGTGGGATTGAGGGTGTCATCCATTAGAACTGATGTTTTTCTGGAGGGAGTTCCAACAGGGAGTCCATGGGTAGAACAGCTCTGCCATTGGGGTGCCATAAATTATGTTTGGAGGTGATTCCTGGGAACTTTCAGATTATTATTAATTAATTGAGAATTTTGATTGCTTGTGAATGAGCCATTTTTCAAATGTCTTATTTAGAGGTAGAGCCGTGAGTGACTTTCGGTAAGAGATTTTCTACCATAGTTCACGTGTTAATAGTTCGCGAGATACGTTACATCGTTCAACTGATGCAGGTGTCCTATGAGGTAGTTAGGGCAGGCACTATTATCATTATGATTATTATATTTATATCTCATATTTAAGCATATTATCAAATATTTAGGTTATAAAAGTTGCATAGAATTATATATGTGTCTGCATCATCGAATTAAAAAATAAAACAATTATAAAATGCAAAATCAAGACACAGATTAGCAGAAGCAGGCAGCCTATTAAGAGAAACATGATTTGCATCCACTTAGCTTTCCTACATGATAATGAAGGAAAGAAATGCCGTAATAAATAACTGGGCAAGTAATGGGCAATTCACAGAAGAGTTCATATACATGGGAAGATTGGCATTTGTCTGACAGATTAAGTATCCAGAATATATAAAGAACCTCTATAAATGAATAAAACAAGGCAATAGAAAAATAAGCAAAACTATAACCAGGTAGTTTGCATAGGAGGACACCTATGTTAGTGAATGTATGAAAAACTGCTTATATTCTCTAGTGAATCAGGTATTTTTAAAACTCATTTTACAAATATGGAAATTGAATCCAGGAAGGTTGAGGGTCAACCAAGATGGTAATTGTTGGAGGCTGGCCTCATGCTGTTCACACTCTAAATATGTAAGAGGCGTATTTTGCAAGCTCTTTCCTATTTATTTTCACCAGTCACAGTATTTTGTAATGTAAGGGGAAACTAGTGTATAATTTAGATGTAGTAATTCAACTATAACTTGGGTAGAAGGATGGGAGAAGTGTGGAGAAAAGCCAATAATTGTAGGAAAATGTTGGTTTAAGCTTGTGGATTCTCAGTATGTCCTTTGATTTGGCGAACTGCCTTTGGAACGTTTTGACTGAGCAATTACTCCCAGGGTACAAAGGCATTTCATTTGTGGCTTCTTTATTCATTTTATTCACGCTCCTGCTGGGAGTGCTGTGAATATAACTATAATGAAACTGGACTTCTTACTCCCTTTCTTTTTGGTACCAGCATAGGTTAAGCAATAAAACCTAAAGAGAGCACAAATTAAATGATTCCTTTTTTTTTTTGGTCTTGCTGCTGCTGTTTTCTTGCTGTGCATTTTATGTCATAGCCTCCTTCTGAGACTTAATATTTATCTTAAGAATTTTGGGTCTCATATTTTAAAAATTTTTTCCTCTTGGGGCGGGAGCTAGGAATCCCATCCTAAAAGGAGATAGAAGCGTCCCCTCTTGGAACTCATATGTCTAGAAAAATGAAGACCTGATTCTCCAAAATATTATGACACCTTTTGAGTTACTTCTGTCCTCAGGGCAGAGTCTCCCCTGGCATTTTAAGACAGCTGTTCCTAAAGTATTAATATCCTGCACTTGTTCATATGGGCTGTCTTTGTTGATTTCTATGATTGATCATAAGTTGAGTTGAGGAATATATACAAGGCAGGCAAAATAAATTAATAGTTCAAATATTTCTAAATGTAAAAGTGAAGCAAGGCCAGAGCTTATTTTTTAACTATTTAAATTATATTTACTATAACTATTATAAAATATGAAT